TTTTTTTCATTCCTTTTGATTCATTTTTCTCTATTCTTATCTTCCTGTCTTATTTCAGAAAGATAGTCTTAAAGCTCAGATTCTTTCCTCCACTTGGGCCTATTCTACTATTGATACTTGTGATTACACTGTCATGTTCTCGTGTTGTGTTTTTCAGTTCCATCATGTTAGTGATGTTCCTCTCTAAACTGGCTATTCTGATTATCTCCTGTATTCTTTTGTTATGATTCTTACCTTCTTTGCATTGGGTTAGCACACGCTCCTTTGGTTCAGTGAAATTTGTTATTATCCACCTTCTGAATTGTACTCCTGTCAATTCAACCATCTCAGTCTCAGCCCAGTTCTGTGCCCTTGCTGGAGGTATTGCGGTCATTTGGAGAAGAGGCACCCTGACTTTTGTAGTTTTCAGGAGTTTTGCTTTGATTCTTTCTCATCTTTGTGGGTTTACCTAGCTTTGATATTTGAAGTTGCTGACCTTTGAATGGAGTTGTAATGACATCTCTTTTTGTTGATGTTGTAGTTGTTCCCCCTTTTAACAGTCAGGCCACTTTTCCATAGGGCTGCTGTGGTTTGCTGGGGGTCCACTCCAGACTATTGTTGACTCAGTTCTTCCCACACCTGGAGGTGTGCACCAGTGAAGGCTGCAAAACAGCAAAGATGGGAGTCTGCTCCTTCCTCTGGCAGCTCCACCCCAGCAGGGAATGACCGAATGCCAGCCTGAACACTCCTGTAGGAGGTGTCTGGAGACCCCTATTGGGAGGTCTCACTCAGGAGGAATGGGATCAAGAACCTGCTTAAAAAAGTTCTGCCCCTTGGCAGAACAGATGTACTGTGCTGGGAGGATCTGCCCTCATCCAGACCACCCGGATTCTCCAGAATGCAGGCTGGAAAGACTAAGTCAGCTGAACCGCAGAGATGGTTGCTGCCCCTCCCCTGCAGGGGCTTTGTCCCAGGGAGAGATCAGAGTTCTGTCCATATAACTCTGGCTGGAGTTGCTAAAATTTCCACAGGGAGGCCCTGCCTAGTAAGGAGGGATGAGCTGGGGTCCCAATTAAGGAAGCCGTTTTGCCACAATCTGGCTCAGTAGCTGTACTGCGTTGTGGGGAACTCCTCCCAGTCTGGACTGCTTGGACTCCCTACAGCTGGCAGGCAAGAACCACCAACTTGAACTGCAGAGATCCACCTCAGGCAGTCTCCAGCCTGCTGCTGCTGGCTAGCTGGAATTCCAAGCCAGTGGATCTTAACTTGTGAGGTGCCATGGGAGTGGGGCCTGCATAATGACACTGCTTGGCTCCCTGGATAGAGGATGCACAAATGGATCTCCCACCTTGCAGAATTCCCAGGGCCAGAGTATGCAAAACTCCTGGGTCTCTGCGTGTGCCCAAGCAACTACTTCATCAAGACTTCACACAGCTCTGTGCTTTGGCCCTGAGGCCCTAGAGGGACTGGCTCACAAGAGGATCTCCTGATCTATGGATTGCAAAGATCCATGGGAAAAACATTCTTTCCCAGGTGGGGTCACACAATCAGTCACTGCCTCCCTTGGATGGGGGTGTGGGCTCCGCTGGCTCCATGCTGCTCTCAGGTGGGCCATCACGCCACCTTGCTTTTTCCTTGCTCTCCATGGGTTGAGCCATCCACCTAGTCAGTCCCAATGTAAGAACCTGGATTCCTCAGTTGAAGGTGTAGAATTCACTCACTGTTTTTATTCCTCTTTTTGAGAGATGTGGACTGCAGGTGCTTCTAATTAACCATCTTGTCCCACCCACCTGCAAAAGTTAAAATTATTTCTTTAAAATATGTGTTGATATCGTTTGGCTCTATGTTCCCACCCAAACTCACGTCAAATTGTAATTCCCAGTGTTGTTAGAAGAGGGACCTGGTGGGAGGTGATTGAATCATGGGGGCAGATTTCCCCCTTGCTGTCTCATGATAGAGTTCTTACAAGATCTAGTTGTTTAAAAGTGTGTGGCACCTTCCCCTTTGCTCACTGTCTCTTCTGCTGGCCATGTGAATATGTGTCTGCTTCCCTTTCATCTGCTGCCATGATTGTAGGTTTCCTGAGGCTTCCCCAAAAGCAGAAGCCTACACAGCCTACAGAACCATGAGCCAATTAAGCTTCTTAATACATTCCCAAGTCTCAGGTATGTCTTTATAGCAGAAAGAATGGACTAATACCTGTGTTTTGAATTTTAAAATGTTGCAAAAATATTTGATATTAAAAACCATAAAAAAGAATATTATCACAAATTCTACTACTCAAAGATAGCCCTAGTTATACAATTGGTAAATGTATTTTTGGTAATTTTTTATATTTCTACATATACTTTTTTTTTGATTTTATAAAACAAAATTACAACATTGTATATATTTTTTAAATTGTACTTATAGTGAACGCTTATTTAACTTGGTATATTGTGTCTTCCCATGACATTGTTCTACAACATAGTATGTAATGGTCAGTTTAATCTTCCATTTTTCATAGATTTTTAATTGTTTGCTTTTATATTTGTTAATAAATATAACTGTTACCTCTTCAGCTAGATTGTAAATGACTAGAAGAATGAAGATTGTACTTTCTCAGTATCTTTCACAAAGGCTCACAAGAAAGCTTTATAAACAATGGTTGGGTTGTTTAGATGACTTTGATAAAACCGAAGCTGGTCCCATTCTCTTCTGATTTACAGTTAATATATCTTTGAAACTATTAGTAGTTACTGGAACTCTATTCAATAGTAGCTTGAGTTGTTTATATTCATCTAAAAATTACACTGAGCACTTATTTTTAAATAATCTTTTAATTTTAGGACATTTTAAATTTTATTTTTATTTTTATTTTTTGAGAAGGAGTTTTGCTCTTGTTGCCAGACTGGAGTGCAATGGCACAATCTCAGCTCACTGCAACCTCCGCTTCCCAGGTTCAAGCGATTCTCCTGCCTTAGACTTTCCAGTGGCTGGGACTACAGGCACACACCACCACGCCTGACTAATTTTGTATTTCTAGTAAAGATGGGGTTTCTCCATGTTGGTCAGGCTGGTCTTGAACTCCTGACCTCAGGTGAGCCACCCATCTCGGCCTTCCAAAGTGTTGGGATTAGAGGCATGAGCCACCACACCTGATCTTTTTTTTTTTTTTTAATTTTTAAAAACAATCATATGTTTCACCTTAAATTTAAAATAATCTGTAAATTCTCAAAAACTGAAAAATTATATAATTATTACAGAGTTGTTTTCTTTGAAGATAAATCTCAAACCTAAATAGATTTAAATCAAAAAAGATTTAATTACAAAATTGAAAAAGACTCTGATTTGTGGTTTGATTACCCACAAATAGAAAAATGATTACATTTGTTCTTTCAATGCCAGTTAGGTATGGATCTAGGCTGAGGAAACTGAATGCTGAGATTTATGGCAACTCTGGGACTACTACAACTATTAAGAAGCTTCCATGTCTCCAGTTGTCAAGGCATTTAAGAAAAATGAGTCCAGGAGATTTTATTATTGTAAGAAGTACACAATGCTGATACTGTGAACAGAACAAAGTATGCCAACAATGGCAATTGGTAATAATAGCGTATTATATCAACAGACTTTCTCCTATCTAATGGTTGTTGATTTTAAGATATTTTTTTAAACCACAATTTCCCTCAATTTTATAAAAATTATAAATATGTTGTAAATGAACACTCATTTATCACTTAAATTTACTAGTCACCATTCTGTCACATTTGCTCACCTCCCCACATTCCCTATCCCTTTGTGCACTGTAAAACACACACTCTCATGCACTCTCGTTTAAAAGTAAGTTATACAAGAAAGTGAAAGATCTCTACAAGGATAACTACAAAACACTGCAGAAAGAAATCACAGGTGACACAAACAAATGGAAAAACATTTCGTGCTCATGGATTGAAAGAATCAGTATCATTTAAATGGCCATGCTGCCCAAAGCAGTCTACAAATTCAATGCTATTTCTATCAAATTATCAATGCTACTATTCACAGAATTAGAAAAAAAAAAAACCCTATTTTAAATTTCATATAGAATGAAAAAAGAGCCCAAATAGCCAAAGCAAGCCTAAGCCAAAAGAACGAAGGCAGAGAATCACATTACTCATCTTCAAACTATAAGGTTATAGAAACCAAAACAGCATGGTACTGGTATGAAAACAGACACACTGATGAATGGAACAGACTAGAGCACCCAGAAATAAAGCCACACACTTTAAACCACCTGTTCTTCAACAAAGTTGACAAAAACAAGCAATAGGGTAATGAGTCGCTGTTCAATAAATGGTGCTGGAATAGCTGGCTAGCCATATGTGGCAAAATGAAACTGGACCCCTACCTTTAATATACACAAAACTCCCAGTATTGGGAAGATTTAAATATGAGACCTCAAAGTATATGAATTCTAGAAGAATTCTAGGAAATACCATTCTGGACATAAGCCTGGGCAAAAAATTCATGACTAAGTCCTGCAAAGTAATTGGAACAAAAACAAATATTGACAAATGAGACATAATTATACCAAAGAGCTTCTGCATAGCAAAAGAAGTTATCAACAGAGTAAACAGACAACCTTCAAAATGAGAGAAAATATTCATAAGCTGTGATCTGATGAAGGTCAAATATCCAGAATTTATAAGAAAGCTAAATTTACAAGCAAATAACAAACAACCCCATTAAAAAGTGGGCAAAGGACATGAACAGACACTTCTCAAAGACATGTAAGTAGCCAACAAACATATGAGAAAATGATTGACATCACTGATTATCAGAGAAATATAAATCAAAACTACAGTGAAATGTTATCTCATACCAGTAAGACAGACAGACAGATACTGGCAAGGCTGCAAAGAAAAGGGAATGCTTATACACTGTTGGTAAGGATGTAAAGTCTTTCAGCCATTGTGGAATACTATACAACCATATAAAACAAAGTAATCATGTCCTTTATAGCAACATGGATACAGCTAGAGGACATTATCCTAAGCAAATTAATGCAGGAACAAAAAAAAACAAATGCCACAAGTTCTCACATGTGAGAATTAAACGCTGGGTACACATGGACATAAAGATAGGAAAAATACACATTAGAGACTACCAGAGCTGTGAAAAAGAGAGAGAAGAGGGGCTGAAAAACTACCTACTGGGTACTATCCTCATTACCCAAGTGGTGGGATCATTTGCACCCCAACCCTCAGCATTATGCAATGTACCCATAAACCTGCACAAGTACCCTGATCTAAAATGAAAGTTAAAATTATTTTTAAAAAATAAATGAATTAAAATAAAAGTAAGGTAGACATCATAATTTCATTTATAAATATAGTTCAGAGGGTATCACTTCAGGAAAAAAGGAAGACATTCTTTATTCACTACAATAGCAATTGTCACAATTTGTTTTTTTTAATGGATAGAGGGGAGAGGAGCCAAGATGGCTGAAGAGAAACAGCTGAGGTCTGCAGCTTCCAGCGAGACCAGGGTAGAAGGTAGGTGATTTCTGCATTTCCAACTTAAGCACCCAGTTAATCTCACCGGGACTGGATAAGCTGTGGGTGCAACTTATGGAGAGCAAACAAAAGCAGGGTGGGCATCACTTCATGCAGGAAGTGCAAGGAGCCGGGGGACCTCCCTCCCCAGCCAGGGGAAGCTGTGAGGGACTGTGCTACCCAGCCCAGGTACTATGCTTTTCCCATGGTTTTTGCAATCCACATATCAAATGATTCCCTTGTGAGTCTGCACCACTGATGCCCTGGGTTTCAAGCACAAAATTGGGTGGTTGTTTGGGCAGGCACCAAGCTGCAGGAGATTTTTTTTATACCCCAGTGGTGCCTGGAATCCCAGCGAGACAGCACCATTCACTCCCCTGGAAATGGGGCTGAATCCAGGGAGCCAAATGGTCTCATTCAGTGGGTCCCACTCCCATGGAGCCCAGCAAGCTAAGAACCATTGGCTTGAAATTCTCTCTGTTAGCACAGCAGTCTAGAGTCGACCTGGAATGATTGAGCTTGGAGTGGGGAGGGGCATCGCCATAACTGAGGCTTTAGTAGGTGGTTTTCCCCTACAGTGCTAAGGAGACTGGGAAGTTAGGACTGGGCAGAATTTACCATAGCATGGCAAAGTGGCTGTGACCAGACTGCTTCTCTATATTCCTCCTCACAGGGCAGGGCATCTCTGAAGAAAATGCAGCAGCCCCAGTTAGGGGCTTACAGATAAAACTTATTTGGGAGAGAGCACCTGAGGGGAGGGGTGGCTGTGGGTGCAGCTTCAGTGGACTTAGTCTTTCCTGCCTGCCAGCTCTGAAGAGAGCAGATAATCCTGCCATGGGCGATTCTCCCAGCACAGCGCACCAGCTCTGCTAAGCGACAGACTGCCTCGTCAAGTGGGACCCTGACCCTGGTATCTCCTGACTGGGAGAGACTTCCCAACAGGGGTTGACAGAAACCTCATACATGAGAGTTCTGGCTGGCATCTGGTGGGTGCCCCTCTGGAACGGTGTTTCCAGAGGAAAGAGCAGGCAATGATCTTTGCTGTTCTGCAGCCTCCACTGGTGATACCCAGGTGAATGGGGTTTGCAGTGGACCTCCAGCAAACTGCAGTAGACCTGCAGAAGAGGGGTCTGCTGTTAGAAGAAAAACTAACAAACAGAAAGCAACAACAAATTCACACAAAAACCCCATCCAAACGTCATCAGCCTCAAAGATCAAAGGTAGATAAATCAATGCAGATGAGGAAAAACCAGTGTAAAAATGCTGAAAATTCCAAAAACCAGCATGCCTCTTCTCCTCTAAATGATGGAAACTCCTCTCCAGCAAGGGCACAAAACTGGACAGAGAATGAGATTGATGAACTGTCCGAAGTAGGCTTCAGAAGGTGGGTAATAAGCTCATGTGAGATAAAGGAGCATGTTCTAACCCAATGCAAGAAAGCTAAGATCCTTGAAAAAAGATCATAGGAAGTGCTAACTAGAATAAGAAGTTTAGAGAGGAAGATAAATGAACTGATAGACCTGAAAAACACAGCACAAGAACTTCATGAAGACTACACAAGCATCAATCACTGAATCAATCAGGCAGAACAAAGGATATCAAAGATTTAAGATCACCTTCAATAAGGCATGAAGATTAGAGAAAAAAGAATGAAACGGAACAAAAAAAGTCTCCAGGAAATAGGAGACTATGTGAAAAGACCAAACCTACAATTGATTGGTGTACCTGAAAGTGATGGGGAGAATGGAGCCAAGTTGGAAAACACACTTTAGGATATTATCCAAAATAACTACCTCAACATAGCAAGACAGGCCAACATTCAAATTCAGGAAATACAGAGAACACCACTAAGATAATTCTCAAGAAGATCAACCCCAACCCAAGACACATAATCATCAGATTTTCCGAGGTTGAAAGAAGGAAAAAATGTTGAGGACAGTCAGAGAGACAGGTCAGGTTACCTACAAAGGGGAGCCCATCAGACTAACAGCAGATCTCTTGGCAAAAACTCTACAAGCCAGAAGAGAGTTGGGGGCCAAAAGTCAACTGGCATGAGATGGTATCTCACTGTGGTTTTGATTTGCATTTCTGTAATGACCAGTGGTGATTATCTTTTTTTCATATGTTTCTTGGCCGCATAAATATCTTCTTTTGAGAAGTGTTTATTCATATCCTTCAGCCACTTTCCAATGACAAAAACTGCATCATTTTCTCAATAGATGGAGAAAAGGCGTTCAGTAAAATTTAACACAACTTCATGCTAAGAACTGTCAATAAACTAGTATTGATGAAATGTATATCAAAAGAATAAAAGCTATTTATGACAAACTCACAGCCAATATCATACTGACTGGGCAAAAACCGGAAGCATTCCCTTTGAAAACCAGCACAAGACAAGGATGTCCTCTCTCACCACTCCTATTCAACATAGTATTGGAAGTTCTGGCCGGGGCAATCAGGAAAGGGAAATAAATAAAGCATATTCAAATCGGAAGATAAGAAGTCAAATTATCTCTGTTTGCAGATGACTTGATTGTATATTTAGAAAACCCCATCATCGCAGCCCAAAATCTCCTTAAGCTGATAAGCAACTTCAGCAAAGTCAGGATACAAAATCAATGTGCAAAAATTACAAACATTCCTATACACTAATAATAGACAAACAGAGAGCCAAATAATGAGCAAACTCCCATTCACAATTGCTAGAAACAGAATGAAATACCTAGAAATACAACTTACAAGGGATGTAAAGGACCTCTTCAAGGAGAAGTACAGATAGTGCTTGACTTATGACCACGGTCAGGATCGCGGACCGGTCATAACACGATTTGGTCAAGTTGAGTAGGCTATATTTACAGTTGAAATAGTGCACGTGGAGAAGGTAGTGCTGCCGGAAGCTGGTCCGCACTGTCGTACGCCCAGCTGGGCAACGTTTGTGCTGCCAGACGTGGAGCAGTCGTGGCTAGCGTTTGTGGTTGTAAAGTTGAATGGTTGTAAGTTGCATAGGTCGTAAGTCGATCAATACCTGTACTAACCACTGCTCAAGGAAATAAGAGAGGACACAAACAAATGGAAAAACATTCCATGCTCATCAATAAGAAAAATCAATATCATGAAAGTGGCCATACTGCGCAAAGTAATTTATAGATTCAGTGCTATCCCCCATCAATCTACTATCGACTTTCTTCACAGAATTAGAAATAACTACTTTAAATTTCATATGGAACCAAAAAATACCCCATACAGCCAAGACAATCCTAAGCAAAAAGAACAAAGCTGCAGGCATCATGCTATCTGACTTCAAACTATACTACAAGGCTACAGTAACCAAAACTGCATAGTACTGATATCAAAACAGATATATAGAACAATGGAACAGATGGAGTACTCAAAAATAACACCACACATCTACAACCATCTGATCTTTGACAAACCTGACAAAAACAAGCAATGGGGAAAGGATTCCCTATTTAATAAATGATACTGCGAAACTGGCTAGCCATATGCCAAAAACTGAAACTGGATCCCTTCCTTACGCCTTATACAAAAATTAACTCCAGATGGATTAAAGACTTAAATGTAAAATCCAAAACCATAAAAACGCTAGAAGAAAACCTAGCCAATGCCATTCAAGACACAGGCATGGGCAAAGACTTCATGACTATAACACCAAAAGCAATTGCAACAAAAAACAAAATTGACAAATGGGATCTAATTAAACGAAAGAGCTTCTGCACAGCAAAAGAAACTATCATCAGAGTGAACAAGCAACCTACAGAATGAAAGAAAATTTCTGCAATCTACCCATCTGACAAAGGTCTAATATGTAGAATCTAGAAGAAACTTAAGCACATTTATAATTAAAAAAAAAAGTGAACAAAGGATATGAACAGATGCTTCTCAAAAGAAGACATTTATGCAGCCAACAAACATATGAGAAAAAGTACATCATCTCTGATCATTAGAGAAATGCAAATCAAAACCACAATGAGATACCATCTCATGACAGTTAGAATGGTGATTATTTAAAAGTTAGGAAACAACAGATGCTGGAGAGGATGTGGAGAAGGAGGAACGGTTTTATACTGTTGGTGGGAGTGTAAATTAGTCCAACCATTGTGGAAGACTGTGTGGCGATTCTTCCAGGATCTAGAACAAGAAGTACCACTTGACCCAACAATCCCATTACTGAGTATATACCCAAAGGATTATAAATCATTCTACTATAAAGACACATGCACACGTATGTTTATTACAGCACTATTCAGAATAGCAAAGACTTGGAACCAACCCAAATGCCCATCAATGACAGGATAAAGAAAATGCACATATATACCATAGAATTCTATGCAGCCATAAAAACATGAGTTCATGTCCTTTGCAGGGACATGGATGAAGCTGGAAGCCATCATTCTCAGCAAACACAGGAATAGAAAACCAAACACTGCATATTCTCACTCATAAGTGGGAGCTGAACAATAAGAACACATGGACACAGGGAGGGAAGCATCACACACTGGGAACTGTTGAGTGGTGGGAGCAAGGGGAGGGAGAGCATTAGGACAAATATCTAATGCACTGGGCTTAAAACCTAGATGACAGGTTGATAGGTGCAGCAAACCACCATGGTACATGTATATCTATGTAACAAATCTGCATGTTCTGCACATGTATCCCAGAACTTAAAGTAAAATTTAAAAATTAAAATAATAAAATAAAATGGATAAATAGGGATGGGAATTGACAGATCTCCCTGATACTATATACCAATTTTTAAAAATCCAGGATCCAATCAGTAATCATATATTGCATTTATTTTCCTTTAATCTTGAATAGTTAATCTGCTTCTTTTGTTTTGTTTTGTTTTGTTTTTTCATGATATTGGGCTTTTTTAAGAAATCCAGTGTTAGTCATTTTGTAGAATGTTCTGTGATTTAGATTTCTCTGGTTGTTTCTTCATGATTAGATTCAAGTTAAGCATTTTTGGTAAGAATATTACACACATAATATATTTTTCTAAGGAGTCCCTTCTGGAGGCACATAAAGGCACTGTCTAATTATTGCTGATGTTAAGTTTGATCACTCAGTTAAGGTGGTACATGCCAGATTTTTCCACCATCTAGTATGTAATCTAAGGGTTGATATTTTGATATTTCATGAATCCCATTTCCCCATAAAATTTCACCAAATTGTTTTTAACATGTTTTGATTATCCTTGCCTGCATTAGGTATTATTACTGAGGGTTGTAAAATGGTGGTTTTCTATGCTATCATTTCTTCTACAGTTACTGGCTGGACTCACTAGGTTTTTGTTGTTGCCATCATTGTTTTTGTTAATTACTATTGACTCATAGTTTCTTTTTTTAAATTACATCTCTAACACCACCAGCAACAAACTACATGTAAAGTTCAGAATGTTTTTACTTGGTTTTTTGTCTTCAGAAAAAAAATAGAGGAGATAAAGTCAGAGTACTCTGTCCCAAGTTACTTGAATTAATTGGTTACTTGGCTGAGAAGATCATATTGTTAGAATTTATATACAGAGTAATCTAAAAGTCAGATTTTCCATTCCTGCAGTCATTTGCACCATGACTAGGATGGCCCATGTGGAGCAAGACAAGAGTGAAGAAATGTTGGAAGAAATATTACTCAAAATTAACATCTGCAAAAACAAAAGAATAAAATGATACTTTTTGAGTTTTCCATTATTGTGTAAAACAAAACAAAGCAAAATTCTTAACATATCTTATTTGATGAAGGATTTGTTGTCTGGTGTGACCTGGTTTTCCGTTTATAAACTAATGCATGAGAAGATAAATTCATTTCCAGTTATATTGAATACAAAATGCCAATGAGTTATCCAGCTGAACATGCTTAGCAGGAAATGTGGATCTGAAGCCTAACAAACTGATCAAGAGCATTGGCTCTACTGTAAAAATTAAAGCTATGGCCGTAAACAGAACAATAAAGGCAAGATTATGAGGATGAGAAGAGAGGCCAAGGACAGTCTCTTGGAGCAAAGTATTTCTGGCAAATGAAGAGGAGGATGTGATAAATAAGGAATAGAGAAGGCCAATAAAGGATTATTTTTTCTAAATGAAAATACTTGCATTTAGTCTCAAGGCTACACGCTTCTTTATAGATTGATAGGTGCCAATTGCTCAGAGAATGATACCCCAAGTATGGGTGCCTTAGCACGTGCTGAGTTCTCTGAGCTCAAAAAGATTGGAAGGGCACCAGAAACAAGGTCTCTGATCTTCCTTATGCACTCCTTTCTCCTCGAAGGCATATCATAAAAACCAGAACTCTTCCCTGAAGTGGGTCATAGAAACTAGAAATCCTTACCCATAAAGCAAGCCATGAAATCTAGAAAGTCACTTTCTAAACTACCTTCCCTAAAAGGGAGATGCTTTTGTCCTGCCATGTACCCATAAGAAAAGAATACTGCACAGAGAGGCCAAGAAGAATCTTATGTTCTCCAAAGTTATTACTATTAGATGATATCCTTTTTTTCCAATCATATTTCTCCACAACTATCTACTTCTTTCCTGGGGCTTAGCACAAAAGTACACAGTTTTCCCAGAGTCTTTGGGTCTTAATTTCTGAAGTCTCCTACTTCCCATAAATACCATTAAATAAAGTTACGTATTTCTCCTGTTAATCTGTCTTTTGTTACGGGGTATCAACTGTGACCCTTATTATGGACAAGGAAAAAATATTAGATTGGTACAAAAGTAATTGTGGTTTTTGCATTGTTGAAATTTGCTGTTTGATATTTGAATACATTCTTAAATAACTGTGGTTATGTTATACATCATTTTAATGCACATTCTTTTTTTTTTTTTTTTTTTTGCTAGTGACATTACTTCCTGTTTATCTTATATTTATTTTAGACTATGGAAATGCTGTTAGACAAAAAGCAAAGTTGAGCAATTTTCTCATTCGAGTTCAAAATGTGTCGTAAAGCAGTGGAGACAACTTGTAATATGAACAATGCATTTGGCCAAGGAATTGCTAATGAACGTACAATGTAGTGGCGGTTCAAGAAGTTTTGCAAAGGAGACAAGAGCCTTGAAGATGAGGAACATAGTGGCTGGCCATCGGAAGTCGACAATGACCAATTGAGAGCAATCATCAAAGCTGATCCTCTTACAGCCACACCCAATTCTTCTCCACAATGCCCGACTGCACATTGCACAACCAACGCTTCAAACGTTTAATGAATTGGGCTATGAAGTTTTGCCTCATCTGCCATATTCACTTGACCTCTCGCCACTGACTACCACGTCTTCAAGCATCTCGACAGCTTTTTGCAGGGAAAATGCAAAGGTCTTTCTTGATTTTTTTTTGGCTTCAGAAAAAAAAAACAAAAAACACACACACAACCAGCAGGATGCAGAAAATGCTTTCCAAGGGTTTGTTGAATCCCGAAGCATTGATTTTTTACACTACAGAAATAAATAAAATTATTTTTCATTGGCCAAAAAAAAAAAAAAGTGTTCATTGTAATGGTTCCTATTTTGTTTAATAAAGATGTATTTGAACCTATTTATAATGATTTAAAATTCACAAGCTGAAACCATAATTACTTTTGCACCAACTACAGTTTTCACTCCTACAGTTCTCAGAATCAAGATTACTAGAATGTAAGAAATGGAAAGTGAGTAAAATTAGATGTAACTTCAGAAAGACAATGTAGTCCTCATAGCATAAAGGTTGTTTAGTCTTTGTATTAGTTTCTTATCATTGCCGTAACAAATTACCACAAACTTGGTGCCATAAAACAACATGCTACACTTTTAGAGGTCACAAGTCCAAAATGATTCACTGACTAGAACCAAAGTGTTAAGAGACCTTCACTTCCTCCAGAGGCCCTAGGGAAGAATTCACTTTCTGTCTTTTTCAGCTTCTAGAGCTGCATTTCCTTGGCTTGTAGCCCCTTCCTCCATTTTCAAAATTATTAGCATTTTGCTTCAGTCTTCTCATCACCTTCCCCTCCTCAGGTCAAACTTCTCTCTCCTTTCCTCTTATAAGGACACTTGTGATTATATTTAGGATCCATTCAGATAATCCAAAATAAAATCACAAAAATGTTCCAGAACCACATCACTCTTTAGGCTGCTAATCTTCAAGCATATTTGGTAATATCATATGTAGCAGTATTTACATGAAGCATTACTTTTCAGGAGCATTTTAAATTAATGGCTATAATTAAAGTTATGGTGGCCAGGTGTGGTAGCTCATGCCTATAATCCCAGCACTTTGGGGGCTGAGGTGAAAGGATTGCTTAAGGCCAGGAGTTTGAGACCAGCCTGGCCAACATAATGAAACTCTGTCTCTGTTTTAAATAAAATAAAGTTCGGTAAATTCTGTAAGTTTACAAAACCAATCTTTTCATCAAAACAAAGCCTCATACTATCTGTTTTTTTGAATAGTTCTCTAGAATGGCCACATGCCCATTTGACCTCACTGTGACAAAGTAGGAGCTGTTTGAGCCAAGAAAAATCTAAACTAAATAAGTAAACAAAGTAAAAAGTTAAGTTTATCAGATTTAATTTCCCCTTTAGAAGAGAGCCAAAAACGTCGTTCTAACGCAAGACAACCCTTAGATCAAATCTCAGATGTGCCATTTGTACTTGACCATCTGAGCCTCAATGTCCTCATTAAATTACATTGAATAAATAAGCATTTGATAGATGCTTAATAAATGTTGGGCACTTTCTCTTTCATGAAAATTTATATCATTCATCAAATATTATTTGACTGTCTACCATGTGGCCAGGCATTAGGCTAAATTCATGTGTGTGTGCTAAGATTTTTACTTAAGTAATTTTTTAAACCTTAACATGAGATAAAGCAAGATGTCCATAGATAGGAGAAGAATTTAATGTACAGTTTAACATTCAAAGTTGTGTTTATAATTGAGAATAAAGAAGACCTACTGACTTGTGAGATATATATGAGATATATATATAACATATAAATACATATATATATATATTTACATATACACACATATTTCCATCCATGGTTCCTAGCTCATAGCTCCCATAACCTTTGTTACAGTATTTTGTTATAATGTTGGGGTGCTTTAGGCCTCAGAAACAGGCCTCAGGAAACAGAATCAATCAATCGATCTCTCTCTCTCTCTCTCTCTCTCTCTGTCTCTCCCCTTCTCCTGCCCAAACCAGGAATTCCCCCTTGCTGTTCTTGTGATAGTGATTGAGTTCTCACAAGATCTGGTTGTTTAAAAGTGTGTAGCACTTCTCATTTCACTCTCTCTCTCTCCTGCTTCATGTGAGGATGTGCCTGCTTTCCCTTCGCCTTGTGCCATGACTGAAAGTTTCCTGAGGCCTCCCCAGCCAGGCTACCTGTACAGCCTGCAGAACTATGAGTCAATTAAACATCTTTTATTTACAAATTGCCCTGTTTCAGGTAGTTCCTTATAGCAGTGTGAGAGCAGACTAATGCACTGGGTTTAGAGCATATTCTTTTTGTTGAATCACATTTTGACACAGTTGTCCCTGTTTCAATCATGGACAATCAATAAAGTCTCCATCAAAGGCCCAAAGGACAGGGTTAGAGAGTTTCCAGAGCACTGAACACACGGAGATTGACAGAAAGATGAAGAACTACTCATCTACATGCCTGCATGCTGACAAACCCCCAACTCCACAAGGACAGCAGCTCCTGTGCTTAGGACCATCCCAGACCTCACCCTATGTATCTCTTCATCTGGCTGTTTGTTTGTATCCTTTAAGATATCCATCGTAATAAACTGGTAAGCCTAAATGTTTCTCTGAGTTCTGGAAGCTGCTGAAATAAATTAATTGAACTCAAAGGAGGGTCTTAGGAACCCCAACTTAAAACCAACCAGAAGTTGTGGAGATCCGGACTTGTGACTGGTGGGAAAGAGGGAGAGGTCTTGTGGGACTGATTGTCAACCTGTGGAATCTGTCTCTATCTCTGGAGGACATAGCTGGTGCCCACTGCTTGGCGTGTGGGGAAAACCCTCCACATATGTCATCACAGAGGTCTTCTCATGTGGAGGTGATGGTTGTGGTGTAAGAGCAGAGGGAAAAAAACGTGGTTTGAGGGTTTTTTCCAAAACACAACCTGTTGTACATTCTTAAATTATTTGTTTTGTAGGTAAGCAATGTGTTGGAAACAATGTATAAATATAAAGTGATCATTTCATTAATAGTATCGAACCCAAATTTACTCAAGTGAAATCTTTTTATCAATAGAAAACTGCCAACACTAGGAGGTTACAAATAATATCTGCTGACATTTTTCAGTTTCAATACACAACATCAGCTCCTAAATATTTAGGAGTTTAAATCTGAAGATCTTATAAAGCTTGATAAAGCATATAGGAAGGAAGGAAATTATATTTTCTTAAAATGAAAGAAGATAACCACAAGGTAAAATTTAGTTTATCTTCATAATTTAAACAGTTACCTCTTCAGGATGAAAATCACTTTTTTGTTGTTGCTAACAGTCACAGAATTTATGAATAGTTGCATTTTAGTCACTCTCATTAATTGATAAGTCAGAAGGTAGTAGTATACTTTTGGAAATAGATTCTTTTAAGTGTGAGAGTGATTGACAAATGTGTGAATCTAAAAGTGTTAACAACATTTAAAGTAAAGCCTAGAAATATGAACACCAAACAAAAGTATTCTTCATACCAGTTTATAATCCTTAAATGGGGGAAACATTGTGAAAATATAACACAATCAAATGACTCCTAGGGATTTCCACATTAGCCTAAACTAGTATGTGCCACAATTAATAGTACACTTTAGTCCTACTTACAAATGCCATTTCATCTAAGGACGCACAAAGCAGTACACTTGGGAAATATAAATTATACAAATGTAAGACACGGAATAACTGAGCTTTACACAAGAAAGAAGAAAATTGGCTTATTCCTTTAATCCCAGCACTTTGGGAAGCGGAGGCAGGCAGACTGCTTGAGCTCAGGAGTTCAAGACCAGCCTGAACAATATGGCAAAACTCTGCCTCTACAAAAAATACAAAAACTAGCCAGGCCTGATGGTATGCTTGTAGTTTCAGCTACTCAGGAGTTGAGGTAGGAGGATTTCTTGAGCTCAGGAGGTTGAGGCTGCAGTGAGCCAAGACTGTACCACTGAACTCCAGCCTGGCTGACAGAGCAAGACCCTGTCTCAAAAAACAAACAAACAAAACAAGGTGGAAAGAAAGAATCACAGAGGACCGTAACATGAGTATGAATTAAGTAAATATTTAACAGTATGAAAGGACTCCTAACAGTGTACAATGCAATGTCACTGTATATTAAATAAAGGTTAAAATGGAGTAAGTGAAGAATTGCTTCAGTTACGCTTCTGAAGGATCAAATCCATGTCGCATTTTGCTTTAGAATACAATTCTCAAAGAGATATATGGTTAGAATGATGAAATTCCAAAAAGGAAAACAGCAATCACTAAATGAAAAAAGGCACACTGTATTTTAAATTTCTTTAAGTTTAAAAAAAAAGAATTTAATAATAGCATGTAGCAAGGGTTCTCAAATTTTTGGTCTTAGGTACTTTATGCTTTCAAAAATGATGAGGGACTTCTGGCCTTAGCTCTGACATGTAAAGAGCTTAAAAGTTATCATTCCATACTTACCAGAGAGAACTGGACCACGTGGCTACCTAGACCACCTGAGGTTCTCTGATGGATTCAAGAAAAGTTGTAGATTTCAAGGAAAACCATAGCCTTGAAATCTAAAGAGACAAGCAAATCCAAAGGGTCACGGCCAAGATCAGCTTACTTAGAAAAGTTCTGGAGACATAAACTGGTAGGGCCATTTAAAAGATAATTTTGACAAATTGCTGGAGGTTAAGTGTAGACCAGCTCAAGAATGAGAACCTCCTTAAGACCATAGTTTCAGTGGGGCCACCATAGCTTTTTGAGTTTACCTCAAAGACCCTCAACAAGGTTCTCATGGTAAAGACCAAAAATGTTTTTTGATATGGTTTGGATCTGAGATTTGTGTCTCCACCCAAATCTCATGTTGAAATGTAATCACCAATGTTGGAGGTGGGGCTGGTTGGAGGTAATTAGCTCATAGGGGTGGTTTCTAATAGTTCAGCATCATCCTCCTAGTGCTGTTCCAGTGAGTTATCACAAGATCTGGCTGTTTAAAAGTGCTAAGCACCTCCCCCAGCCTTCTTCCTGCTCTGGCCATGTAAGACATTCCTGCTTCCCCTTCACCTTCCACCACAATTGTAAGTTTCCTGAGGCCCCCCCAAAAGCAGAAACTGCTATTTTTCCTGTACAAGCTACAGAACTATGAGCCAATTAAACCTCTTTTCTTTGTAAAGTAT